AGTGCGCGCCTGTAGTTCCAGCTACTCGGAAGGCTGAGGCGGAAGGATCGCCGGAGCCCAGCAGGTCGAGGCTGCGGTGACCAGGAGCGGCCACTCCAGTCTGGGTGACAGAGTGAGACTCAACTCAAAAAAAAAAAAATGAAAACATTCGTAAGATATTTCATATCCCTTTTCCTATGTATTAACCCTTCAAAACTGGTGTTCATTTTGCATATCACAATTCAGACGAGCCACGTTTCAAGTGTTCAACAGCCACATGGGGCTAGTGGCCACCATCCTGGACAGCACAGCTCTCAACACTAGAATCTTTGTCCAGCATCAATATTAAAGGACTTTTAGAAGAAAGAACCAAGCATCTGTTTTCTCTACAGCAAACAAGGAAGAACAGGGCCAGGCAGGGAAATAGGGGGAGGAAGAGAGTAACCTGGAGTCTGAAGATAGAACATTAAGTGAATAAACAATCTCTTAATTCCAGACAAGAGTTATAAGAGGAAATTCTGTTTGTTGAATTGGATAGAAGACAGAAAAGGAAAAAATTTAGGTAAGACAGGAAAATTTGTACTGCCTAATTTGGTTGTGTGTTTGGGGTCTGGAAAAAATTCCTACAAGACACCAGTCTGGGTGAAATTTTCCTGTGGACCCAAGACCTCGTTTGAGCCAATGACAACACATGAAAGGGGTCAGCTGATGGCCTGGAATTTGTAGGGACAAGGAGGGCTCATTTCCCCTTCTAACTCGCCATATACTTTCCCACCTTTGCAAATGCTGTCCCTCATCCTGGATGCACTTTCCCTGGTTTTTCACATAGCTGGTGCTTTCTCAATCTTCAGGCTCAGCTGAAATGTTACCTCCCCTAGGAGGCCTCTCTGATCACCCTGTCTAAAGCAGGTCCCCCATCCTCTCCTCATATACAATTGTTCTCTATCTCAGCCCAGGTTTTTTATTCATGGTACATGTTGCAATTATAATTCCTTTTTTTGTTTTTAAGAGATGGGGTCTTGCTATGTTGCTCAGACCTGCCTCAAATACTTGGACTCAAGTGATCCTCCCACCTTAGCCTCCTCAGTAGCCCTAACTACAGGTGTGCACCATTGCACCTGGTTTCATTATAATTCTTTACTTCGTAGATTGTTTATCAGTTGAGGTTTCTCTTCCTCAAGAGAGCAGGGACCTTCTCTCTCTTGTATACGCATCATGCTTAGCAGGACACAATGCCCCTACTTTTGGATAGATGGATAGACAGATGGGGGTAGGGAGGGAAGAGGGGGAAGCTAGGAATTTAAGGGTTTAGGTCGTAGAGTGAAATGTCAGAACACACCCAAGCAAGACTTTCTTTTTGTGCAGAATCTAATACATTATCCATCAGCTGCAGATTCACCTTCTAACTCTCAAGAATCCCATTACCAACATCTTTAGAAATATGGTCTCTCAACTACTAACAAATGTCAGAAATAAAAAATGCCCTGTCCTTTACCTTCAAAGACCTGTTGGAATTTTTTTTTTTTAATTATGCTTTGTAGCCTGGTCATTTTCTAGGCGGCCAGACTGCCTGATCCTGGTGGCCATTTTGCCCTATAACGGCCTATTAAACCTTGGTCTGAAAAGGTTACTTCCCATCCCTTTTATAGGCAATGTACCATTCACTCGTCCTTGAGGGGCTTTAGTAAACTGAAAAACTACCTGCATCTTGGGTATAAACCCTGGGGTGTACAGACTACTCAAACCCCAGAGCAATACAAAGGTCCTCGATCTAGGACTCAGAGAAGATGATAAACGGAGAATCTCTGGCCAATAAAACAACATAGCAATAGCCAAGGGCTCATCTTGCTCCCACAATGTGTTAGTGACCTCATTTGTAACAAGGAACGCCAATCTGCTGAGCACCTAGAAGCTTTTTGACTTGTGCGTCTGGGATCAATCATGTTCAAAAATTTGCTTCTCTTCCAAGTAAATGTGACTCAAAAGACCTTGTGTCTCTTTGAGTCATGCTGTCAAAAGACTATAGTGGTGCCCTTCGATCCATGGCCAATATGTTCCAAGCTCCCTAGTGTATGCCTGAAACTGCGGATAGTACCAAATCCTATTTATATTCTGTGTTTTTGAACTGATAGCAAAGATGGCTACTAAGTGACTGATAGGCAGGTAGCACATACAGCTTGGATATACTAGACAAAGGGAAGATTCGTGTCCAGGCAGGGACAGAGCAAGACAGCATGAGATTTCATCACGTTCCTCAGAATGGCACACAACTTAAAACTTAGGAGTTGTTTATTTCTGGAAATTTCCAAATAACACTTTTGGACCATGGCTGACCACAGGTAACTGAAACCACAGGATGTAAAACCACAGATACGGTTGTGGTTCAGTCTGTGGAAAAACTTTACTTTGAAGAAACTGAGGCACTAGACATGATACTTCATTTCATTAAAAAGAAAAAAATCCTTGTATCTTTTTAGCCAAAATATGATGTTGTCCCCGTATTTCTCATGTTTTCAAAATTTCCAGATCATCCCTCCCAATTCAAAATAGCCCTCAAGTGACATGAAAAGGCTATAGAAGGTGTAATCCTACCCTAGCCTACTCTGACAAGTGCATTCTATTGAACAAAAGAATTGAAATGCTCGGGAAGAGGTGAAGCATGTGTTGATAATCAGAAGAATAAATTAGCTAAGATTCTGAGTTTTCTACAGCCTGCTGGGTTTTTCCATTCCCCCTTTACCCAATGGGAAATTTTCAATGTATCAACCAGGTTAGTGCAAATTCTCCAGGTTGCAAATTCTCCCCTTTCACCCAATGCCCTGAGAATCCACATATATCTTTATTGTGTAATGAATATACAAAAATGACTGGAGATTTGGTCTCAATTTGTTCAGCTTTCATTTTTTCAGTCATTTAGTAATTTATTAACTTTAGTTAATAACAATGCATCAATATTCATTCATGTTGACAAGCATGTCATACTAATGTAAGATGTTGATCATCCCAGAAACTAGATGTGGAGTATATGGGAACTCTGAACTATTTCTCCAAATTTTCTATAAGTCTAAAACTATTTAAAATAAAAACTTTATTTAAAAAAAAACTTCCTTAGAATGGACCAGTCTAGCAAGACTCATCCCAGTTGTGAAAGGAAACACAGTGGGCTTTTCCACTGCTAACTTATTAGAAAAAAAGAATATAGAGATTCTTCTAGACCAGGGGTCCCTAACCCCCAGGCCACAAACCAGTACCAATTCATGGCCTATTAGGAACCGGGCTGTACACCAGGAGGTGAGCTGCAGGTAAGCAGAGGTCCATTTTCTGTCAGATCAGTGGGGGCAATAGATTCTCATAGGAGTACAAACCCTATTGTGAACTGTGCATGCAGTGGATTTAGTTGCGCATTCGTTGTGAGAATCTAATGCCTGAAGAGTCCCCCTCATCTCCCCCCACCCTCCCCTTCAGTCTGTGGAAAAACTGTCTTCCATGACACCAGAACCTGATACCAAAATAGTTGGGGACCGCTGTTCTAGACGGTTCTTTCTTAGCTGCCCCCATCCTTCTGAAGCTTATTTTCCTGAAGACTTTTGTTGCTAATCAGATCGAAACTCAGAAAAGGGATAGGTACATCAATCTTAGAGCAAGGTGTAGTTGAAGGCTAAGTAAACTTGGAAACCAAATGCACCAGGAGTTATGTCAACCCAAACTAAGTATCATTATTATTATTTCATCAAGACCATTGAGGCAAGGGTAGTTTTGCTGTCTGCATCTGCCAGTGCTCACAGAGGAGTCCAAGAGAATCGCTTTCTCCTCCCAGAGGACTCATCTGGAATCTTATTTTTTAAAAGAACATCTAGTTTCATAATTCAGAGCATCTACTTTCAAAAATGCAAGTAGCCACCAACTCACAGGGCCTGCTTTTTGTTACACGGCTCATGAGAAACAGTCCCCAGCCCTGTGCCCATAAAAACCAATCCTCCTGAATGCTAGCGTTGGAAGTTGCCCCCATCACACACACACCCTGACATCCTCTCTTGGACTTTCTTTCTCTTTGCATCTCCTCTAAGCTTGCTGTTTTGCTACCCACACTCCTCCCTTCATGCCCTGGTCCATGACAGAAATGCCAGGATTGGCAGAATTTAAGGAAGGAGGATAAAGAAAAAGCTCATGGCAACTAACCCTTCTCCACCCCTACCCCCAATTATTGAGTTTTGACAAATGTCTAGCTCAATGTATAATCACCACCCAAATCAGGATATAGGACATTTATTTCCAGTAGCCCCAAAAGTTCTCCAGCTCTTACCAGCCAGAACACCCCAAACTAATCTGTGATATCGGAATTCAGATCAGTGGTTGCTTGGGGGAAGAGAATGGGGAGGTTGACTGCAAAGAGACACAAAGGGAAATTTTGAGGGTGACTGAAATGCTCTATACCCTCATTCAGGTGGTGGTTATGTACGTAGCTACAAAGGGTTTGGGGCAGGAGTAAGCTTGGTGAGTTTTGAGGGGAAGATATTTGCTCAGCATGGGGAGTGAGAGAGGGAAGCATGTGGCAGATGAGGTCAGGGAAAGCAGACCGAGCGAGGGATGCAAGGCCCCATGTGCATAAGGACAGCTGGGATTTTATTCCCACTGTCCTTTCAAGCCTTGGAGTGTTTCAAGCTGACTCTCCAGGTTCCTCAAGGGTCAAACTTTACCTTACATAAATGGATTTTCCTTTTCTGGACCTAGAACCCTGGCCAGGCACTGCAGTAGTATTCTTGGCTAATAGCATCTGCTGAAAAACCTCCATGCTGGCCCCGGGGTCCTGGATTCCCATCCTCTACTTAATGGGGCCTCTCTGTCACTTTGCCTTGAACTCTCCTTGACAACCTACACTAAGCCTTGTGGTTGCCTTCTATTCACTGTAGCTGGACTCAACCCTCTTAGCCTCTGTACCAAGGCGATTTCCCCTGGCCTGCCCAGTCCTAGTGGGGGGGGTGGAAGAGGGTCAGTACCAGGCCTCATTTTGGCAAGCTTCCAGTACATCAAGCTTCAACAAACAGCTCAATAACACGAGAAGAGTTCAATGAAACCCATGGGGGAACACAGCCCCTCCTGGTGGGCCTCTGGCCACCCAACTCACCTTCGCCCAGGGTCTGCTTGAGTAAATCATGCTTGGCCTGCAGCTTGGTGATGAGGTTACTGCCATTCACGTATTCTTTAAATTTCTGTAAGACACAAGGCACAAGGAAGTTACAGACTGCAGGGCCACGGAATGGGATCTCTGCCTCTGGACCTGACCCCTGGGACAGGAAGGCCAAAGGGAGATTGTATCACCCTCAGGGACCCCAGTATGGGGAAAACAGAGACCCCTACAACTGCTCCTTGGCTCCTTTCTGTTCAGATGCCTGCTGCCACGTCCTTGGAGGGCTCCAGCCTTTCGGGTCGGGTTTAGGAGGACAAAGAAAGCCCTGGGAGAATGGGTGCAGTGAAAGCTGCTTCTGTCAGATGAGGGCTGCAGGGAGCTCAGGTAAAGGGCTTCTTCCGTCGTCAAAGCCTGAAGTGCTTCTGTGCTAGGGGTGACACAAATGGGAACTGTCCCAGGGGCCACACAACTGAGATCAGAGAGCTTCATCTGATCTGTCAGAGAGGAGTCTCCAAACAAATCTTTCTTCCAGCTGGCCCTGCTCTGAAGGAGGAAGTGCTGTGCAGGCCCCTGAGAGGCGTTCCCATTAAAATAACCCAAACTACATTGGGTGATAGGATTCTCCCCTTTGTAGAGATGAGACAAGTGAGGCTGGCACAGGAAAGGGATCTGCCCAAGGTCCCATACAAAGTCAACTGTGGGCCAGGCCCAGCCTCAGCCTGTCTCCTAATTTAGGGTCTTGCCAAGTGCATCACTGAGGGACAGAGAGCCACTCAGGACAGAAACACATCTACATACCCAGAGCTCGCTAGTCCTCAGTCACGCCACCATGCAGGTAGCAGCTCTCCCCATCATGCCCCCCCATCAGTCCCAGAGCCCTGCCGGGTGTGTTTTTGCTGGACTGTGAACTACTGTCATGGAGGATCCACGCCTAGGTCATTTCTGGATCAGGTACCTGAAGCTGTACCTGACTCAGAAGAGGTGCTGAAAAATTGAGCTGAATCCCTGCCTTCACAGGGCGTATGCACCAGGGAGGGGAGAGAGACAATAAAATGAACCCCAGTAGTAAGTCAAATACAACTTAGCCAGATGGTGGTGAATGCCATGGATAAAAATAAAGCAGAGCTGGGCTTAGTGGCTCAGGCCTGTAATCCCAACACTTTGGGAGGCCAAGAGAGGAGGATCATGTGAGTCCAGGAGTTTGAGGCTACAGGGAGGTATGATGATGCTACTGCATTCCAGCCTGGGAAACAGAGTGAGTATCTGTTTCTAAAAAATAAAAATGAAGAAGTAAAGCAGGAACAGTGGACTGGGAATCTGGGAAGTCCTCACCGCAAAGTGGACATTTGAGCCAAAGCCTGAAGGAGGTAGGAAGGGGCTATGTGCGGATCTGTGAGAAGTAGCTCTGCAAGCAGAGGGAATGGAAGCTGCAAAGCTCTGAGAATAGTCAAGGAGGTAGATGTACTGCCCCAAGTCTGCCCACTAGTTTCTCACAAAGAAATCCATTCTATTGTCCCAGCCAGCACACTCAAAAAGAGGTGGAGAGGAATGAGCTGTGGAGGCTTGGGAAATCCCAATCCTCCCATAGAGGAGGGTGTCTGATGTCGCCATCTTCCCACTGAAAACAGTTGTAGGGGAAAGGCCCATGGGGGTGGAGGCCAATAGACACAAATAAGATTGGGGTCACCTCATGCTGGCCCACCCCAGTGGGTTTCCGTCATGACTGGACTGGCAGGAATTTGTGGTGGCTTCTCTCCTTTTCCATGGTCTTTAGCTCCTGGACCAGGCCTCTTGGCCATTAAGGCCACTCTCCTTGGTATCTGTAGCGCACAAGTTTCAGACAAGCTTCACCACAATCTTAGATGGCAAATGGGACAGTTGCATCAGGCCCACTCTACCCAGAGGAGACAGATGCTCAGAGCTGCAGCCCCTCACTGTGTGAGCTGGGGAAGATTACAGAACATTTCTGGGCCTCTAGGTTCTGCCCAGTGTAAGTGGGAAGTCAATCCAGTGTTTCCCCAAGTGCGTGGCAGAGGACCAGGGACCTTGTAACCAGCCAGGGAGATCATCAACACACAGATTCCTGTTCTAGAATATCTTGAGTCTGACCCCTAATTTGACACCTGAGGAGGAACCACAGAAACCCGGGAGTGTTCAAAATACAAGGAGCCCATCTTGAAAGGGTGGTAGTCTGAGAATCTACATTCTCACCAAGCTTCCTAGATGACTCAAATGCATACTTCAGTTTAATAACTACTGACCTGCAGCCTCTCTGGATGCTTTCAGTAACAATGTCCTCTGATTTTATCATATGTCCAAGAATTTGACAAAAAAAAAACCAAGCTGAGGAGTAAGCAGGTATTTTGTCCACCATACCTCACTGCCCCAGTAGCTGAAGTTCTAAGCTCAGACACCATAACGCAGGCCTTGATGGATTAGTCCAAGTTACACCCTGGGGCTCTATGGTCTGTGGATTCTACCCTCATATGGCCCACAAAAGAAAGAATGTCATCAAATTGTATTGATGTTTGCATTTAAAGGGATACTGGGTCCTTAAGAAGACCTAAAGTGATGTCACATCAAGTTGTAAGAAGGTATACGAGACAATCAGGGTGACAAATTGAGTATTAAGAATAAAATAGGCTGGGGAAGGTGGCTCACATAATCCCAGTGCTTTGGGAGGCCAAAGCAGAAGGACTGCTTGAATTCAGGAGTTCAAGACCAACTGGGGAAACATTCTAAGACCTCACCTCTACACAAAATCAAAAATTAACCAGGCACGGTGGTTTAAGTCTGTAGTCCAGCTACTCAGAAGGCTGAGGTGGAAGGGTTGCCTGAGCCCAGGCGATTAAGGCTACGGTGAGCTATGACCATGCCACTGCACTCCAGCCTAGGCAACAGAGTGAGATGCCGACTCAACAAAAAGAGTAAAATATAACATCTTCTGGTCCTTATTCATAGACACTGGAGCAACAGAGGCTCCACTGTCCATGTCTGAAAACTGGTGAGGGATCTTCAGATACAAAGGGGGATGATTCTCAACAGCCAAGAGGCCAGGTCCTACTAGCTAACTTCAAACACGCTGGACACCCTTCTCTGATCCTACTTCCCAGATCTCTTTGCTTCTACCACCGAAGTGAACGAATATTCACATGCACTCCTCATTCATCTCTGTAACCCATAAATTATTTGTGAACATTTGGCCCCCAGTGGAAGTGGTGAGTGCCAGGAAGCAGCATGGGCTGATTCAGTAAGCCCAGCTTTGCTTTCTCTCTTGACAAGGTCAAAGAGTACTGTGGGAGGAAATGCAGTGTGTGTCAACCAGTCATTTTGGACGCGGGATTTGTCAAGGTCTGTCATGACATGGAGTTGGGTGTTATGATTCGGTAGACTTGTGATGGGTTAAGTGACTACAATCATATCAATATCAGCCTAGCTGCATGTTTTTAACAATTCTGCCTTTAGCCTTGGCCCTGGCCCATCCATTAATTCTTATTTTTTGTTTTTTCCTTTTTTTGAGTTGGAGTCTCACTCCTTCGCCCAGACTGGAGTGCAGTGGCACGCATGCTCACGGCCACTCCAGCGTCGACTGCTGGGCTCCAGTGATCCTTCCACCTCAGTCTGTAGCCGGAACTACAGATGCGCACTACCACGCCCGGCTATTTTTTATTTTATTGTAGAGACGAGGTCTCACCGAGGTGCCCGTGCTGGCCCTGAACCCGCAGGCTCAGGCAATTCACACGCTTTGGCCTCCCAAAGTGTTGGGAGTACAGGCTGAGCCATCAAGCCTGGCCCATTAGTTTTTTTAATTGATAAACTTTAAGGTATGGAAGCCATGCTCATTGAATGTACCGCATGACACAAGGTCTGAAGAGACAGCATGTGTGCTGAACAGCTAGATCAGGATGCTGACAGTCTGGAAACATGAGGAAACCAAACTGGTGATAAATAAATATAAGATCTGCCCACGACATCACCAACACAGCCTCAGGAGGAACAAGGCCTGGTTAATGGCGGCATATAGGGAAGAGAGATTTAACTGATATTAACTTAGCTTTAAAAAACAATAATAATTCTTTAAAAACACAATCTTGGAACATATAAGTAGGAGTCTGGTATCTGGTATGAAAGGGGTGAAGTTTTTGCTTTATTCTGTGCTGGTTAGACCATGGCTGGGAGTCTCACTTGAAAAGAGGCATCAAAAATTGGAGGAGAGACTCACTAGGATACTGAGGCTACTCAAAATCAAGCTTATGAGCCTGGAGAATTAACACTCCAGCTCCCTGCATTCATGTGAAAGATTGTCCTGTGAAATTATCCTCGCTCTGGGAGGCCCCCAAGTATAGAATCTAGATTGGCAATCCTAGTGAGGTAGATTTTTGAAGATAACAAAGAAAAAGGAAAATCATAATGCCCAAAGCCAGCCACAAACAAAAGGGCTGTTTCAGGAAGAAGCGAGTTTTTAATCCTGGGGGCATCAAGCAGAGTCTGGAGGACCCCCTGGCAGTGAACATCAGATGGAAGATTCAAGGTCCCTCAGAGCCCCAGTATCCCACGTTCAATAAATACATGTTGAACTCAATTCCCTTTCTCCTTGCTCCTTCTGGCCATATGGGAGGAAATTAACATGAGATTTTATTTGAAGGGCTAGCAACTCAGGAACAATTTGCTTGGATGGCTGATGGCATTGCTTCCACAACCCATGCCCAAATTTAAGACAATTCAGCATATAATCCATGCACAGAAATTGTTCCTTGGGGCTTGCACCTGACTCTATCAGCCATTTCCCTCTCACCCAACTCATAAAACTCTCTTTGGTTTTTTACAAGAGCAGAAAAGTTTCAATAACTGTCACTCAAGATCAATGCTAATGCTATCCACAGGCAATTCACTTTCTGCGTTTCAGCAGACAGTGGGTTCTGGGTCCAGGATGCTCTTACCGTAAAATAAAACATTTCCGTTTCCTGCTGGTTGGCTCTCCTCTTGGCAATGTTGATTTTGCTCATGTAGGTCTCGGAGGCAGCTGACTTGACGGACTCTGTAGACCGACTATGCTGGAAGGCATCGGAGACATCAAAGTCCTCCACTGTCAGCATGTCCTGTAACGTCTGCATGGTGGCATCCAGGGTTTTCCTCACCTGGGGAAACACAGCATATTGACAAAAGTCCTGTATGCTCATACTGCTTTTGACACTTAAAGTCCCTTTCCCAACTGCCACTTTATTACTTCCATATAAAGGCTGTAGGAGGGGTACAGAACAAAGATGGTCACTACCATTGCATTTACATGGAAAGCAAGACAGATTAGTCACTGGCCCAAGATCACACAGTCAGCTGGAATGAGAAGCCACATTGCCCAAACTAAAGTCATTTTCTTTTATTTGCTTCTGCCAGAGTGTACCTTGGAGAATGTTGTGACAAACGAAGGAGGAACTTGGTTTTCTAGGTTTGTTTCTCTGGGCCTGATTATGAAGGCCAAACTGGTTCCTCCAAAATGACCCACCTCAGTCATTTCAGCAGGGACAACAATAGAGAATCTCTAGTTCTCTTCGCTCAGAGAAGGATAGAGACCAAGTCTGGATCCTGGTGGACAGCCATTCTCAATGAACAAACTCTCCAGCTGTCTGCAACTGAAATCCTATCAAAAGCTTGACTCAGAAAAGGGAAACTCAAGCAAGACCGTGGCTGAGGCCCACGTGGGGTAGTTAGGACTCCAACTTCTCTCCTGGAATTGCACAGGGATGCTGGAAGGCTACACTAGCAGAAGTTCTAAGTCCCACATCCCACGGGCCCTGACCTCACAATACCCCTCTGAATTTGGAGGGTCATTTCAAAAATGGTCACAGGAAAAACTGCATCAACGTTTGTTCTAAAATTACTGTCAGGGTCTTTTTCTTGTCACTCAGGCATCAGCTAAAATGTCACCTCCTGATGACATCAGCCTCCTCTCCATGTCTTCACTTAGTGCCTATCACTGGCTAATATTTTCCAGAGCCATTCGTGATTGGTTTGTTTGGTTTTGTGCTTTAATTTTTATCTGCCTTTTCTCACTAGAATATGTCCTCTATGAGAAGAAGTACTCTGTTGTGTCCACCCACTTTATTCTTTATCTAGAAAATATTTAGCACATAGTATGTACTCTATAAGTACTTGGATAAATATTACTTGGATAAATACTTGCTGAATGAATAAATAAGTCACTTTGTCTCCCTAACATACCCCGACAGAATGCTCAGGTTCAAAACAAAGCACATCCATGCACACTAGCAGCCCATACAAAGGAACATTTGCTTTGTTCTCCTTTCTTTGGCCCTGATTTCCAATTTAAATTCCATTAACACTATGATCCATATACTGTTGTGTGTAAACAACATAAAATCCTTTGGGGGAAGATGTAGGACATAAATAAATAAAGAAAATACTCTGCTTGTCTCCTGTCTCTTGCCAGGTTTGTAAAACAAATATATAATTTGTCACCATATAACCTCCCCCCGGGGACTGCTTTGATTCGTTATCATCCTGAGCTACAATCTGTCTCACATTTGTCCTAGGTCTGTCCTTTGTGAATTCACAAAGCAAAGCCACCCTCTCTTCCCGGGGCAGCCCTCTTGAGATTTGACACCTGACACATACGTCTTCCCATGTAACCCCATGATTTTCAAGGATAAGCCTGCTCATGACCTTGGCTGGTGCTCCCATATCCTGGTACCCTGTCTCTGGGGGTCTCTGGTTGTTTGACATCCTTCTTAGAGGGAGAAGTCCATGTTTGAATGGGTGTTTTCCCTTTGGCCTCTTCAGTCCACATCAGCTGTGATTTCTGTATGTCCCACCAGTGGTAATCCTGTGTTCCCGGCTGCATGGGAGGTATGCTAGGTCTGGGAAGATGGACCCATTCCTTGGAGCTTGAAATCCATGACACATTTATTGTGCCCTGGGTTCCCGAGTCGTTTATTTCCCTGTGTAAATACTTGCTATTATTTCTGATGATAAAAACAGAAACTCATTGCAGAAAATAGGAAAAAAAATCACAAAGAAGTAAACAGATTCCACACCCTAGACAAACCACCGTTAAGATTTTGAAGTATTTCCCTCCAATCTTTTTCCAATGTCTGTGATTACAGACAATTATATACATACTCTAGTCTATCCTAGTTATGGTACCATTAAACATCGAGTTCTACTCCTTCTTTGTTTTTCTTTAGCTTTAATATCTTATGAGCATTACCCCCAGGCCGTTAAAGATTCTTGGTGTATATGGTTTTAAGGCTTGGGTAATATTCCACCTTATAGACCCTGGTCCCCAACCTTTATGGCACCAGGAACCGATCCAGACTGGAGGGAGAGATGGTTTCAGGATGATTCAAGCACATTACATTTATTGTACACTTTATTTCTATCATTACATTGTAATATATAATGAAATAATTATACAACTCACCGTAATGCAGAATCAGTGGGATCCCTAGCTTGTTTTCCTGCAACTAGATGGTCCCATCTGGGGTAGATGGGAGACAATGCTAGCATCACTGCCTTGGCTCCACCTCAGATCTACAGGCATTGGATTCTCATAAGGAGCACGCACCCCATATCCCTCGCATATGTAGTTCACAACAGGGTTCATGCTCCTATGAGAATCTAATGCTGCCACTGATCTGTCAGGAGGTAGAGCTCAGGCAGTAATATGAGTGATGGGGAGTGGCTGCAAATACCGACGAAGTTTTACTTGCTTGCCTGCAGCTCACCTCCTGCTCTGTGGCCCAGTTCCTAACAGATCACGGACTGTGTCCATGGCCCAGTGATTAGAGATCCCTGTTATAGATGACCCAGCCTTTCTTATGCATTCTATGGCAGAAGTGGACTACCCAGGACAAGCCAGGCCTTCATGAAAAAGTCCTTTATGGGGCAGAGGGGCTCACTCACCTCCTCATTCTCTATCTTGAGAGTGGCCAGTCTGGACTGCAGCTGGTGGTACCGCATAAGCAATTCCGTCTGGACAGGCTGCTGGGCGCTGACCTGGCACACCTGCAGAAATAACAGCCACCACTTGTGGTTGTCCCGTGCCCTCCCCACCTGTGTGGAGCTAGGTCAGGGGCCGTCATTAACATCCCTGTCTACAGCTCAGGAAACAGGCTCAGAAAAGTTGAATGACCTGCCCAAAGTCACACAGCTCATACGTGGCCATGACAACTGACACTAGATGGGTACCAGGGTCTTCCTACTCCCAAATCCACCCCCTTGCCACTGCCGGGTGTGATTTCCCAGTCGTGATCTTCCACATCTGTGCAGCACTTGAAGGCTTACCAAAAGTTTTAACATAATCTCATTAAGTGAAACTAATTTGTTAGCCTCAGGGCAGGAAGTGGTGGCAAGAGAGCAATCCTCCTAGTAGACGCCAATGGAAAGAACCAGGAATGGGAGACAATCAGCAAAGTGTTCCCACTGTCCTGCAGGACGATGCTGCAGAGAAGCAGCTGTGAGGCATCAAACTCTCAAGACCCTTCTTCCCCAAGCAGTCAACTGGGTGAGGGCTGGCATAGGGGAAGAACCCACAGAAGCACTGCTCCCCCTCCACCTTTCCCTCCCGGAATCTATGACTACCTGTAGGCTGAGCTGCTGGCATGCCTTAGTTCCTCCACCCTTCCAGGAACAAAGCTAAGATCATCAGGGACAGAAGGGCTCTTTCGAAGGTGCTGGCTCTTTACCACTAACTAGGCAACCCAAACTTCACAGGCACCAGTGGCAACCATGAGGCTAGAACGTTCAAGTCCAGATGATGGGCCAAAAGGGCTGGACTTGAGGGCAGAGGGACAGGGCAGGAGCAGCAGGGCAGCCCTGCAGAGGAAGGCAGGCAGAACCATCGGAGGGTCCGGCAAAGGCCTGTTTCTCAAATGCCTCCTTGTCCCTCCTCTCCAAGCGGGTGCCATGGACGGCCCTGCTGAGCCCCACTGGGATCCAGAGGCTGGCTTGTGCTGCTACACTTTGGGTCGGGTCCTTCCAACTCCCTGAGGGGAGTGATATGGAAACGTTCAGGAAACTATTTGAATAAGGGCCTTTGTGAACTTTGGGCAACTATTAGTGCTGTGTTGGGGTCAGTGACAAGTGCCTTCTCCCCATTTTTTTTTTTTAGTCAGGTTCTCACTCTATCACCCAGGCTGGAGTACAGTAGCATGATCATGACAATTATGGCCCAAGGACAGCCTTGACCTCCTGGGCTCAGGCGATCATTCCCAAGTAGCAGGGACTATAGGTGTGAGCCACCACACCTGAGTGATTTTCTTATTTTTGGTAGAGATGGGGTTTTGTTATGTTGCTCAGGCTGGTTTCGAAATCCTGGGCTCAAGCAGTCTGCCTGCCCCAGCCTCCCAAAGTGCTGGGATTGCAGGCATGAACCACCAAACCCGGCCTCCCCATTTCCCCCCCACCCCTAGAAAATAACAAGGATCTGAGCAGCACAAGTACTGAAGGAAACTCATTTGTCTGGCATGCCAAAGCCCGTATTGGAAAAAGGTAGCATCCTGGTGGAATGTGCTGACCAGAGTGCTGTGGTGAGTTCTGGGCTTCCTGTGGTCCTCACCCGACATCTAAGGGAAGAACTTAAGACTGAATAACAAATTTTTTCTCCCTCAGGGTCTTTTAGACATAGCTTGGAAGAATTTTAAGGGAAGCCAAGGTCCCATTAATTCTTCAGGTGGGGGACTTGCGCTAGCAAGATTAGGGCATCAGTGTCAACTCCTTGGCTGAGGAAGCCCAAGAGCCAAGAACTTGACACCAGGCCTCTGAGATCAACATCCTTTATGTGCAACTGCAGGGTGTCCTGGAGTATGCAGGAGAACAGAGGGGAGCGGCCTCAGGCTTGGGCTCCTAGGAGAACCTACCTCATCCCCCATGTGGGGCTGGAACTCAAACTTGAGTGGGGGACAGAAGACCTGGTTGCACATGTCCATGACTGTGTGCTTGTCACTTCGGGAATCCAGGTTGTCCACTGCATTCTCGATGACGTCCAGCCCCTCGTGGCGGGAGGTCTCCAGGTTGTATTCGGCTGAGAGGTAGGTCCGGAAGGTGCGGGCCAGGCTGGCGTGAAAGCCCAAATCACAGCACTAGGGAAGAGGCAACGACAGAAGGGTGCGGGTAAGAGCCAGGACATGGAGGGGGTGGTCACCAGCCACAGTGACTTACAACGGCCACCCACTCTACAGCCAAATCTTCCATCCTGAGGCCCTGGTGCACTTGCATCTGGGACTCCGACAGTATACGCCACAGCAAAGTCCTCAGAAGGAGCTTGGGCTGAGACGTGGGTGATAGCAGAACTAGACTCCCCAAACTCACCACACGATTTCTCGTCCCTAGACTTGCACACAGGCATCCCTCTGCCTGGAATACTCTTCCTTCAGGATTCGATTTAGAGGTCACGTCCTCCTGGGAGACTTCCCTGATGTCCTCTCCACCCTCCATTTGTGTCAGGTGTCCCTCTTCTGGGGGGTCTATGTTTTCCTCAATCTCCCTCACCGTGACCCCCACCACTTAGCATTGCAGTCACTCATTAATGTGCCCTCAGCAGGGTAAACTCCACAAGGGCAGACCCTCTGGCTCCTGCCCACCGCTATATCTCAAGTCCTAGACCACAGTAGGTGCTCAATTAATACTTGCCAAATGAATGGGTGAAAGGGTAGAAAGAGACAAAAGGGAAGTTGAAAGGTAGAAAAGAGGAGGGGACTGGCCTCAGGCCATGCAGAAGTCAGAGTAGCTCCCTCTCCTTGGGATGGGGACAGTGGGTGCCCCCACTCCGCAGCCATGGGAAAAGCAGGGGCTCCCTCTAACTTTCCAACAGGATACACCAAGGGAAAAAAATCCATCAACCAGGACTGCGCCATTACTAAGCATCTATGGTGCCAAATCCCCCATCTGTGCAGGAAGGAGCATGCAGGAAAAACAGTCCCTGCTCCTGCCTAGAGGACTCAGAAGCCCTCCCCAGCACCGTCGCTCTTGGTGTTCTTTCTCCAAGCCTGACTGTCCCTGCAGCGTGTCTTGCACAGCTGGCATTCGGGAGTCAGTGTGCCATTCTCCATTTGCTTAAGCTGCCTGATTTTTTCCAATATAACCCCCCCAACACACACACACATACACACACACATACACACCCACACACACACACACACACAAAGCTGATCTGTGTAATTAATTGTGTCCCATTTACTGTTCTCTTTCACATGCACATGGGTCCAGCTTACTGGACCAAGGGGCACTGCAACTGTCAGTCTCCCCTTCACCACACTGGGAAATCCTCATGCATGAACTGTGTATACTTCTCTCCTGGACCCCTCAAGCCCAGCAAAGGACCTGGTGTGGATGTAGGTTACTTGGGACGTTGGCGTTGAATAGAGGACTGCCCAACCTGGCTGTTTAGGGCACACCAGAAGCTCACGACCCACTCATGAAAATTGAAACCATGAGGTAACACTCATTTCCAGTCCCCAGATGCTCACTGCCCTTCCCCTCCAGCTGGGCTCAAAAGACCACTGGCCACCCAGTGCATCAGCTGAGGACCAAGGCCAGCTCCTCCTTCAGCTGACAATATGCAGCAGCCTGAGTGTGGGCTCTGTTCAGTCCCAGACTCCCCAGGGCACTCACATCGATTAGATCAGAGACGTCATGGATGTAGTATTTGCTTATAGCTGCATTGGTGGCTGCCAGATTCAGCAAATAGTCATTCCGGGCCTTCGTGCATTTCAGCTTGTTCTCAGAATATTTTGCCTGCCTCTGGAAGAAGAACAGAGTGGATGTAAGAGCCAAGCTAGTGACAAAAGGGATTTGTGGTTTCTTGATGGTAACCACCTGCCATTCAATCCCATGCCAGACTTATAGAAGGCCTCCATGTGCTGGGCAAGTAAGCTTGGAGCCTGGTCTCAGCACACTCACCTTCCATGGCACATGTGCAGCCAAAGCTGACACTGTTCGATAAGCCACAGCCTTCTGATGGTCTCCACCAGGGTGGGGCACAAATAAGACCCCTACTCATCACCTTCCAATGGCTTTCCAAACTGCTGCTGGCAACTTGTGAATACACCAAGGGAAAAAAATCCATCAACCAGGACTGGGCCCCTACACTTCTTGAGCCCCGTCTCACTCCACATTCCCTGTCACTCGCTTGGCCTCCTCTGTCCCTCCTTTAAGAGGCCAAGGTCACTGCTGCTTCGAGGCCTCAGGCTAGTCGCTCCCTCAGCCTGTCAGGCCATCCTCTCAGATCTCTACACAGCCTGCTGCTTCACTATCACACAGCTCCTTTCCCAGGGACTCAAGGTCACATTGGCCTTTGACGACAAGCTTGTCTACCCTCCTCCTCCCTCTATCCCTCTGCCCTGCTCTGGTTTCTTCATAAGCACTCTCCACCACCTGAAACTGTTTTTTGAAACAAATCTCTTTGCTTCCTTGCGCATCATGGGGTCTGCAGCACCCGGAACAGTCCCCACACAAGGCAGGTACTCGGTGAACTTCACTGACTCAAGTACAGGAGGAAGGAAGGGAGAGTGGCTGTCTAAATGAGCGAGGCAGGGAGAGGCAGGGTGAGGCAGCCGGAGGTGCCTGTCTTGGCCAGGAGCCTGACTGCCTCCCTGGGAGCTCCTGTCTGGATCGGCCTTAACAGAAGAGGAAAGCATGAGTGGGTGGAGAGCTGCCCCCTGCCCCTTTCAGACTGATGACTCCCAGGGCTGAGGAATGCTGGGTCAAAAGAGATCCCCATAAGGAAACAGGGTTTTCCTCTTTCACCTAGATATTCTTTTTTTTTTTTTAATTTGTTCAGAAAGGTTTATTTCCTACTTGAGTCAAATCATGGGCTTGGCAATGAGGAGGGAACAAAGTGGACAGCAGCCAGGCGCAGAGGCTCACCCCTGCCATCCCAGCATTCAGGAGGCTGCGGTGAGAGGGTCACTGGGGTCCAGAAGTTCAAGACCAACCTGGGCAACATGGCGAGTCCTCTCCGTTACAAAGCCCTGCCTTCGTGGAACTTGTATTCCAGCAAGGACTAGGGAGGGGGCGATGACTGGAGCCATGCTCCACGATTCACATAATTTCAGGTAGTGAGATGTTACAGAAGGAAAACCGAGCCGCTTGAAAGGACAGAGAGTGACAGTGGAGGAGGAGGGACGGTGGCACTAGGGGAACCAGGGCTTTCGGGTCCTCCCTGAGCGGGAGAGGTGAGTGGAGAGCAGACCTGCAGCAGGCCTCTCAGGGCAGGTTTTTTTGGTCACCTAGATATTCTTGAAGCTTCCTACTCTACATCAAGTTCTACCTTTTCAGTAGAGGTGCCCCCGTTGTCAACCTTTTAATTCTCTTTGGAGATCTCTGACTTTTTCCAGGGTCCTGGCAGTTACATCCTACACCAGCCATGCACCCAGCTCCCACATGGTGTTTCGACACTCATGACCCATCTCCAGGAATCCACTATGACCCCGGGACCATTTTCAGCTCTTCACGGACTCATACAATTTTATATCTGGAAAGGATGTGAAAGGTATCTTAGCTAAACTCGTTTGTTTTATAGGTGAGGACATGAGAACTAAAGAGGAGAAGTGGCTCATCCAAGAACCAAGTGGCTAATTATCATACAACTCGGAATGAAAATTCAGTCTCCAGACTCCCAGCCAGGACTCTCTGTACCCTTCCATGCTTCCCCTATGTTGTAGCCCCATAATTCTCTGCTTGGTTATTTCTTTTTATTTATTTATACTATATTCATAGAGTTGTACAACCATCACCACTATTTAAATCTGGAATATGTTCATCTTCCCCCAAAAGAAATCCTCATTCACTGCCACTCCCCATTCGCCTCTTCCTCAGCTCCTAGAAACCAGTGATTTGCTTTCTATCTCTAAGGGTTTTTTCTTATTCTGGACATTTTATATAAATGTAACTGTCCACTATGTGGTCTTTTGTGACTGGCTTCTTTCACTTGGGATGCTGCTTTCAAGGTTCATCCATGTGCGGCGTGTGTCAGCACTTCACTCCTTTTTAGGCTGACTGACATTCCACTGTATGGCCACACCACATTTTATTCATCCATTTCTCAGCAGATGAACATCTGAGTTGTTTCCATCTTTTGGCTATTATGAATAATGCTGCTATGAACATTCATGTGTATGTCTTATACAAACATATGTTTTAATATCTCCTTGGTAGATACCTAGGAATGGAATTGCTGAGTCACAAGGTAACTTGGTCTACATGTAACATTTTGAACAACTGCCAGATTGTTTTCCAAAGTGGAAGAAACATTTTACAGTCCCTCTAGTAGTGTGTGAAAATTCCAGTTTCTCCATATCCTCACTAATACTTGATACTGTCTGCCTTTTAAAATTCCAGTCATCCTAGTGAGTATGAAGCAGTATTTCACTATGGGTTTGATTTGCAATTCCTTAATCACTAATGATGCAGATAATCTTTTAATGTACTTACTGGCTACTTGCATGTGTTTTTTTGAGAAATATCTATTCAAATCTTTTGCCCATTTTTAATTGAGTCTCTGCCTGGTAATTGTAGTTTTCTTTGCCCTCACAAATTACCCTGGAATTTCATCTTATTTGCTTTCAGCTACTTTTCCAGCTTAGCCAGTCTTGTTTTGTTCCCATCCAATCTTTTACAATCTTGAGAGCTAAAGGATCACATAACCATATAATTAGACTCTCAGAAGCCCAAATAAACATTTAGTGCAATATTTTGTCCCATAGAAAGAGCTCAGGAAAGTTTTGTGACTACATAGAGTGAATGAATACAGAGAATTCAACAACATAGTCATGGCCTTTGAAAAGGAAAAGAACTTTAGAAATCACCTCATTTAGAATGACAAGAAAGTAACATGTATTCCCCAGCCAAAGCAGACATGATTAAATGATTTCAGCACTGCTTTTATTTATTTATTTTTTTTCATTTCTTTTTTCTTCTTCTCCAGCATTGTTTTTAACTTAGCCTGGATAGAGCTCCACAATCCTCAACCCAATGTTCTAGGCAGCCACTACCAACCAATCGATGAGAGTTGAGACTTATTTGCCATCCTGGTCAGATTTGAAAACTGAGGCTTAAAGAGGCGTTGTATTGTGGCATTTTCAAAACGTAGCCCAGCTCCTTCCACCACACCCGACGCTAAAGGACTTTTCTGGCACCAATACACAGTGATTCTAAGCCTTTCACCTTTGGCTCGGCAACGGCAATTTTAGAATAGGTCCTTCACCAGGCTCCCAGGTTCTGGTTGGTAGCCCAGTGCTGCCCCCTCAGTAATCAGTCTCTCACCCCTCCCACTCTCACCCCTGGCCCTCAGCTTCCAAATTGGCCTTCGGAACCAGTCCCTGCCCCACTGAGCCTGGCGATTTCTGTCCATTGGAGAATGTGCTTGGTGAGCACGAATCTCACCACAGTTCAGCTCTCTGGGCCACTGAGAGCCTCTCTGGCCCGCTGACCCTGGTGCTAGGCCAGGCCTGAACAGTGCTAGCACAGGCACAGCCAGCCCCTGCCTCCTCCACAATGCTGACCTCCAAGCCAGCAGATGCTGGCAGCATCATTCCACCCCCACCTCGGGGGGGGAGCGGAGGAAGGAGGAAGAAGGCCAGAGCTGTCCGCCAAGAGCAGGGCCCTCGCCTTCATGGCCCGCGCCATCCCCAGTCTCTCTCAGCCTGGGGTCCCACTCACCTTCTCCTTCATCTTCTCGATCTTCTTCACAGAGCTGCGGCGCTGGGGCCGGTCCTCATGCCGGAGCAGGTTCATGCTGAGGTCTCCCGACTTGTTGAACTGCTTCTCCTCCTGCTTCTCAGCCTCCTTCAGCTTGCTTTCTGCACTGATGCTCTCCGCGTGGTACATGTGGTAGGTTTTCATGACCTGGGGACACACGAGTAGGAAGAATCCATAGCCTGCCGCGGCCCAGAACGGCGAGCTCTGTTGCCCCTGGCCCCTCCCGAGTTCTGTGCTCCAGTCAGATCTGGCCCCACCTCTTCCCACAACACACTCTGAGCACCCACATTTTTTTACTTTGGCACAAGCTCTCTGAGGACTGGAAATGATGACGGTCGTCCTCAGTAGCAGCCTCATCATCGCCACCACCAGCAGCAGCATTAAGTCCTTACTAAGAGCTAAGCACGGGTAGTCAAGAGGAAACTAACAAGGGTCACCACAGCAGGAGCATCTGGGGGTTCTCAGAGATGATACAGCATGCCCAGGAGTCCTCTCAAGCCCTGCCAGCAGTGACCTCTGCATCCCTCCACCCCCCACCAATGTCACTAGGAAAGCCCTTCCTCACGTCATACTCATGGGACTTCTAAGGGGAAACATCCTCTTCACTCACATATAAATCATTTTCTCAGTCATTTCCCAAAGTAAAATGGACCTGCAAATGACTCTGTCCAAAAGGGATATTACCAGATAACGCAATAGGTATCCTGTGCTCCCTGAAATAAACCCATCCTGGTCTGTAAAATCAATTCTTATGAAGTAAATTGCACTTTCCTACTCTACTTCCATAATAAAAATGGAGTACTGCTGTAATAAGAGAAATTTTTGAATCAGTAGAAATTCTAGACATCATCTAATCTAGCAACCACCCATTTTGACAAAAAGGGAAACTGAGACCCAGAGTGGCCAAGTATCAGTGCAGAGTCTCCAGACTTTACATCCATGCAGCCAGCATCATGATCAGGATATAGAATTTCCATCATAACAAAAAGATCCCTCACACTAAACCTCGACCTCACCTCAGCCCCATTCACTGATCTGCCTTCTGTCCCTATTGATAGGTTTTGAGCGTGTTCTAGAACTCCAGTTACACGGAATCCTATAGTATGAACTCTTTTGAATCTGCCCTCTTTCACTCAGTATATATATTTTTGAAACTCACCCATGATGTTGCATGTATCAGAAGTTCTTTTTTATTCCATTGTATGACTGTACCACAATTTGTTTATCTATTCACATGTCACAGTTGCTTGGGTCATTTAAAGCCTCTGTGAATAAAGCTGCTATAAATGTTCATGTACAATTCTCTGTGTGGACCTATGTTTTCATTCTTCTTAGGAATGGTATGGAATGATATGGAGGGTCCTATGATAAGTATATATTTAGCCAGATTAGAAATCCGGTCTCTGACTTTTAATCTGCCACTTTTCTACCATGCCATACTGTTCCCTTAATTCATTGCTATTTCCTCAACAGACCTGAATACATTTGGCCAGCTTGAGAGCAGGCTGGGCAGCCCCACACCCACAGCATTTTGTCTCTTGGACTCCTACTAGGAGTACACTTTTCTTTTGTAATATCAGGTTTATGATCATCTTTCTATGCAAGAAGCACAGACATTTCTGTCTCCTGAGCCTTGTTCATTTCCTAGTGTAGTTTGCATAATGACAGCAGCTAATAGAGCAGACATCTCCACTGGAGATGAAATGCACTCCTGCCTCACCACGCTTTGTGAGTCAAGTCCTGGAAGATAAAAAATAAATGCTGGCAAGGATGTAGAGAAAAGGAGTACTCATACGCTGTTGGTGAGGATGTAAATGAGTACAGCCATTTTTGAAAAGGGTATAGAGGTTTCTCAAAAGCAACAAAAACAAAACTATCATATGATTCAGAAGTCCTACTACTGAGTATTCTACAAAGGAAAGGAAACCAATGCTTTAAAGGAATAACTACAATTCCTTGTTTATTGCCGCACGATTCACAACAGCCAAGAGAATGAATCAACTTAAGTGGCCATCATTGGATACATGAGCAAAAATATGTGATACACTATATACAAAATGAAAGGCTACTTAGCCACAAAAAACTGTATTTGCAGCAATATAGATGGAACTTGGATATCATTACATTAGCGAAATAGACCAGTCAAAGAAAAACAAATATCACACATTCTCACCCATATATGAGGGTAAGAAAAAATTGATCTTATGGAAATAGAGAGTTAAATGACGGTTACTAGAGGCTAGGAAGTATGTGTGTGTGTGTAAGCATAGTGATGAAGAGAGGTTGGTTAATTGGTACAAGTGTAGTTACAGAGAAGGAATAAGTTCTAGTTTTTGACAGCACAGTAGAGTGACAATAGTTAATAATAATGTATCATATATTTCAAAATAACTGGAATAAAATATTTGCAATGTTCTCAGAAATAATAGATGCTTGAGGTAAAGGATATTCTAAATACTCTGAGCTGATCATTATGCATGTATCAAGATGATCACATTTGCCTAGAAATAATGTACAATTATTATTATCAAAAATCTTGAAAAGGAAAAAAATACAGGCAACTTTTCTTCCTGGGTCTTGGTGGAAAGACCTCTTCTTCGCATTCCATCCAGTTTTGCTCATTTGCAGTTGCAATAAAGACCCAAGAAACTCCCTTCTTGCTGATTTCATCCACCCTGCCTGCCAGTTCCCCTGAGATCATTTGCGGACAACTCAGTGGACCAGAAAGGGTGCCAGACTGATGTATTCTCGACATCTAGTGGCCAAAAGGAGTGACTGCAGTCTTCCAGATAACCAACCCTGATGTCATGGCTTCCAGGAACAAGATGTGGCTAAGAGGTGGGAATGCTTGCTCATGGCTGTCTCCAGGGCCCCCGTTTTCCCCCTTCTCAGCACCTTCCTCTGTCCCTCCACGTTCACAGACACCCCTGGCTTCTTTGGTTCACCATCATATTGCCGGTGCTGTTCATTGCTGGTTTCAATGATCCCTGCTTTATCTACTTTTTATATTTCAGTGTCCCAGTCTGCTTGTCTCACCACTAAGCTATTATCTGCATTGTGTAGTTCAGAGGAAGATGGAGCATTGCTATTTGCAGCGAGATCTTCCTGTCCAATCATGCATGCATACATCCATCCGTTCAAGGTCAGCGGCTCAGCTGCATGTTCTCATCTCCCATATTTTCCTTCGCCTAACTTTCTTTCTCCCCCACCCCCTTTACCTTGTTTTCTACTCTTCATGAGCCACAGAGTACTCTTCCTGCTCTCCAACAAACCAAGCTTCCCAGATAGCCTCTGAACTGCATTCCAAAAATCTCATGCTTGGAGAACACAGCCTTGAGTACTCTGAAGCCAAACTCCCTGTGAGGCAATGGATTCCTGATCCTAAGAATAACAGTGAACTTAATTGTCCAGTGTGCCTTATGTCAGACAGCTGCCACCCAAGAATTCACCTGGGGGCTTCTCTGAAATGAGTCTGCCCAGAATCCTCTACATGTTTCCTTTATTTCGTTACCTGAAAAAAACATGGGCTTCGGCACGAAAGGTCCTTAGCTCCACAGCATAGAACAGACCCTCAGTATTGCCAGCCCAGGGTATGTTAACATTTAAACTTCTATTACTTCGAAGATTGCACACCTCTCTCTGCGATACCTTCTAGTGAAGGAGTATTTCAATGAGTCTTTATCACAGTTGCAGGAGGTAGTATGATAACAATTAACAACAATGGCAGCAGCTAACATTGACCACTTACTGCGTGCCGGGTCTTGCTCTAAGCACTTTACATACACTAACTCATTTACTTCTCACAAACTCCCGGCGAAACTCTACGTTCTCTGTTTAGTAGACGGGGAAACCATGGCCCAAAACAGTCCAACAAGCTTTTCGAGGTCAGAAAGCAGGTGAGTGGAGAGCCAAGGCTCAAAGGCAAGGTGGCTGACCCCAGAGGCTGGGCCTAATGAGCACACATAAAATAGGGATGGATGACAGGATCCTCTAGCCCATAGGGGTTTAGGAGACCTGGTTCAGGGATTCAACCCTACTTGCTGGGTGACTGGACAGACTTGTCCCCTCTGGGCCTGCCTTGTGAGGATCAGATGGGGGTTGAGAGGGAAAGTGCTCTGTAAACTGCACGTATAAAGTGACCACAGGACAGCAGCACATGCCCAGGGCTGGGAAGGGGCAGAGGTGGACACAAGAGCTCAGGTGAGACCAAGTTGCCGAACTGGGGATCTCTGAAGGGCTCCTCAGAGGTAACCATCTGCTTGATTCCAGATGAGGGTTCACTCTCCAGCCCTTCATAGTCTTTCAGGGAGGGTCTCCCAACAAGCCTAGGGAAAGACCTTGCAGGGACATGTAAGTTAAGACCCCATCTCAGTTTCATGGGTTCTCAGAATATAAGAGCTAGAAGGTCCTCCAGAAATCCTGGTGTTCTCACCCCTCCCTGAGGGAAACTGAGGTTCATAAATAGCAAGTGTGTCGTCTAAAGTCACACAACAAGCCAGGCAAAGCTGAGACCACAGGCCTGGTCTTTCACCCACAAGGCATCGCCTCTTCTGGTAATCACGATGCCTTTTGCTGTGTACACATTGCCTTTGCCTCTTCCCACATCCTCGGATTCTGAAAACAACTAAGTGTTATCTGCGCAGTCCTTCAGACCCTCTCATTTAAATGCAAAAGAAGGCAAACAAAATCTGGAAGCTGACAGCATCGATAAAGGGACATGGTGGGGCAGGATAAGGATCAGTTGTTAGAAAACAGCTTCTCAATGATGCAGTCCACGCATGCTTCCTCTACTCCGCAGGCAGGGCCGTCTCTGGGCACAGCAGCCTGCTGACTCCAGCACGTGTGCATGGGTGAGACCCTGGGCCAATGCATGCCAAAGACCTCCTAGAAGGAAAAGAGGAGTCCTCAAATTGTGCAACCACCCACAGTCTATGGCCTACCCTACATTCTCTGTAAAACGAAATCTCTATTTTAATTAATTTATTTTTCATATTTATAGACTATTTTGCCCCAGCTAGAAGGCAAAGTCCTGAGGCCAGGATCTTGTTCATGATCACATTCCCTATCCCTAAGCAGAGACTGGTGCCCAGCAAGTGTCAATATATTTTTGTATGAACGAATGTTTGGCTGGCTGACTGGATCAACAG